CAGCCAGGCCTTGCTAATGTGCACACTATGAGGTTTTGCATTGTCTTATTGAACTATGCATGGGCATCCCTGGAAAAGATGTGGTCTTGAAGGCAGCATATGTTGCTCCAAAATCTCTGTATTGTTCAGCATTAATGGAGCCATCACAGAAGTGTAATTTACCTTTGCCAAGGGCACTGACACAAGCACAGTCCATGACAGACTCTGGCTTCTGGGCTTGTTGCTGGTAGCAGTGTGGATGGTCCTTTTTGTCTTTGGTCCAGAGTGCACAGTGTCAATTACTTCCAAAAACACCTGAAATACTGATTTGTCTGATGACAAACATTTCCACCGTGTGCTGGTCTATCCCAGATGCCTCCAAGCCCAGAGCACAGTGCAGTTTTAAGCAGCATTTATGGATGGAACTACGTACTGTAGTGCCTGACACAGGTATACCAAAGTAATCCTGAGCCCATGTAGTTATATGGCTTATAGAAGGATGACGATTCTCAATGCGGTGCCGTCTGAGGGATCAGAGACCACGGTCATCCAGTTTAGGCTTGTCCCCTTTATAAACTGAAATCCTTCCAGATTCCTGGAATCTTTTAATCATGTTCTGCACCGTAGAGGGTGACGTATCCAAATCCCTTCCTAGCTTTCTTTGAGGAACATTGTTTTTAAACATTTCAATCATTTTCCCACACATATGTTGGTAACCTGGTGATCCTGGGCCCATCTGTGATCCTAAAGGGCCTTTCCTGGATGCCACCTTTCTACCAAATCACAATGCAGTCACCTGTTGATGTCACCTGGTTCAAATCAAATCATCATTTCATTGTTTTACCTCATTACTGGTACTAAAATGCATTTTTGGAATCTGTTACAGGCATCAGAATTTTAGTAAGAGTTTATTTTGAACCAAGAATAAAACTGATGAGGTATCACATCAGACATACCATCCCAACTTTTTCTGATATTAATATAAAACTCATGGTATGAACCAACTATTGAAAAGCTGGAAGAGAAAAAAAAAAGTAAGTGTTTACCGGCATCCAAGTTCAAGTCTCTGTCTCGTCCTCTCTTCAATGACAGCAATAAGAGCATAAAGACAAAGAAAGAGAATGGCAGAAAGGAAAGGTGGCGTGTTTTGATTGGATTGGCTTTATTCTTCCTCCACTCCTATGTTTGCTATAAAAAACACCCAGTCCAGTTAACTTTGCCCCTGTGACTGAGGGCTATTTTGTTATTTGTGTTTAGCTAGCAACCTCCAACCTAACTGGCATATCACTACAGGCAGAAACACAATCACAAGATTATGAGATAATGTTTCAATTTCAGCTTTTTCCTTTAATTGCATTTTAAAGGGCACTGCACACAGGCAGCATGTGACACACATCAAAACACTGATATAAAACACCCACATCCATTATCTTTAATGACAGTCCACAGACATGCAGCAAACTGACGCATCAACATTTCAGGATACAATATGGTCCTATTTTCCCAGCACCAAAAGCATAAAACACTGAACCCATTTCAGTAGACCCACAATGAATTTGCAACACACCCAGTGTGTTTCACAAGAGTCATGTGAAGCATATCACATAACAAGCTGCAACACGACGTGATCAAATGTGCTGATCTTGTTAAACTGCATTCATGTAGTAGCTCTGAATATACAGCATATTTGTTGTGGTTTGTGCTTCAAAACTGTGTTATAGATGTCAACTCGAGAAATATTTGAGACACACTGAAAATAGAGGGTGAACATGGAATTTAGAGATGGGAAGAACATGACCTTAGTCCTAGCTTTTGGTTGATCACAGATGAAAGTCCCATTATTCATTCAAATGACCCATCACTCCCTCACAGAGATACACAAACAAGAAAAAAAAACTGAGTTATAGTTGCTGCTGTTTTTGTTACTGTGGCTTTTAATTCCACCAGGGAGGTTATGTTTTCAGTCCCACATGATGCTCTCTTTGCTTGTTTGTCTACAGCTTCATTTCATTAGAGACGTACTGACATATCACAGTAGGAAAGGCACAGGCCTAAACAATAAAATTAATGATGGCTGAATTCCAAATTGCCCCTTCAGTCGTGGTATTGTTCATCCTGTCACGCTGTTGTGACTTATTGGGACACTTGAATAGAACTGAGCCATAATGTTATTAGTTCCACCTGTGCTTTTCCTACTATTCCAAGCCAGAATGTCTGCTGTGAAAAAGACCTATAGGCTGTAACATAAAACCTGTTAACAGGGCTCTAAGAAAGCTAGTGAAGAGTACAGGTCATGACATTTGTTATGATCAAAAAAGGTAAATGACTGGTAGCAGTTATGTGTACTCTAGTTTTTAACCAAAGCAGAAAATGGTTTGGGCTCCTAGTAGGTTCATACCTAATAACTGACCCATCATTCAACATTGATGCACTTCATTCATATACTCTTTCCACAGTCCTATCACTCTCAGTTGTTTAGTGGTGTACTGTTAGGGTGATTTTTATTTTATGCACTTAAGAATGGTTTTATTTTATAACACACATAAGTTCACATACTTATATGTCACAGATATGCTTATATAGTTATGAATATCACTCTGTGTTCACTTAACCACTGGTCAAATATTTGCTGTGTGAGTTACTGAAAACACTAATGCAACATCATAAGTCTGGTGCACTGAGTGGTTTTCCAAGGTCTAATCCCACCGTCTTTCATTAGAATTGTTGCCTTTTCCGAAAAGAGCCCATTATTCCCTCTGAGCCCTGAAGCCAGGGAGTTGAGGTTTGATAAGATACTAAGAAGTGTTGTGGGCTGTGCAAAGTGTCTGTTTCAGGACAAGGTCGCGCCAGGGACGAGATCGGACCAGAATGGGGGACCAATGACGGGAGAGTTAAGTCTAAACCACAGCTTCTCCCCAACAATTTTGGATCAATCAGAAAGTAGCACCTTTTCATACAAATATTGTATACCAACAAGTTGAGGACAGTCTTTTCTGTTTTATCCTAAACAGTGGAGATCCGTGTGCACATGCTAATTTTGATACGTTAATGCATAATAAATTTCACATTGAGAAATATATATCCTCTTATTAGTCTTCTCTTTTCAATATAAAACGAACAAGCACCACAGTACATATTCAAAAGGTGAGCAGATTTACTGTTTTATCACTCTTGCTGTAACACTTGTACAAGGTGATGCAAACAAGTGCTGCTCTTCTGTATGGGGGGAAAAAAACAACCTCATTTACACTTTTGGCTAAAAGTTAGAGCCGAGTTAGAAAACTTACTGGAGCTGCTCTAATGGTCTAGTGCAATGCTGGGAGGACTGAGCTTCTTCTAACTGTCAGTATGATCAAATGTGATGATCTTGTCCTGGCCATTTCTAAATCATGACTGTCTTGTTTTTATTTAATATGTCTCAGACCTATTCTGGGGAAATATAAATTAATGTCCTTATCCATCTAAGCAAACAGAGTGTCTCAGCTTTTATCATATGCTAAAACCAGACAGTGTAAAAGGTATGTTTTTTTTTTTACATATTTTTTGATCTTTTACATGTCTTTCTACAAGAAAAGTTAGTTGTTTTTTTTTTTACTTTGCCAAGTGTCATGTCTATAGGAAACAGGCTTTAAAAATAGCAAACTGAGCAGTGAACAGGCTAAGAGGAAGTGGCAGCCGCAAGAGCTAAAGAGCCCCATATTTAAGCGGTTTTGACCACTCTCCCAGACAGAACGAACACCTTTATGCACACAACCCCAAACTGAACAACAGGAAACTAGCAACAATGAGCCCCCACCGCTATCATCACAAAGACTTCTTGTCAGTTTTAAGAAGCAATGCCTTTATTAACTATCTGTTGAAAACTGAGCATGTTAGGAACCACACTAACAGGAAGATTAGATCAAATCTCCAATCTCATTTTACATTCATAAGTCTATTATAAAACACCATTCACTAATACATATTTTCAGTACGAGTTATAGTGAGACAGTCTATTTAGCGAGGTAAGAGAACAAAAGAGGGATTTCAGCAGTGCCTGCAGGCAGAGACCTGTTGACCTTTCACAGGCTGCATTACTATGCTCTTTTGTCACAATGGCAGAACTAATGAAAGCTAGTGAGCCGACCAGTTCACTTAATTGATTTATGACGTACAAGAGCACCAACCTTCCATTATCACACTTCCTTACACTACCTCCTCCTCTCCTGTTTTACAGCATACCTGTTCAGGTGTAAATGGTCTTATACTTACATAGCGCTTGTCTACGCACTAAAACTCACCCAAAGCACTTTACACCATTTACCATTCAAACACCGGTGATATCATCGGGATTCGGGGTTCAGTGTCTTGCCCAAGGACACACATGTAGACTGGAGAAACCAGGAATCGAACCGTCAACCCTTAAGTTAGGAGACGACTTGCTCCGCCTGCTATACCACAGCCGTCCCTAAGTGTGTCCTGTCACTGTTTGTAACTAGGGGCACAGAGCGTGAAAGTAAATAAAAATACATATATACGTCACCTAAGTTTACGACAGCGTTGACATCACTACCGCTACGGTAACGGTACACATTGTGTTTACATAACAAGCTATGGCCGGGGAACATGCCTGGGTCATACCAGAGAAGGAGACTGACGGGCACTTCTTTCAGTAATGCTTTTAAACACACTACACACAGACCTACTCAGTAAATTACAGCCTAAGCAGTTAAGACAGAAGGTAGCTTAAACCCTACTCGTTCATTGCATGGGGTGTAGCTAATGCAGCTGCTAACGATCGCTAGTGGGATGCGTCAGCTAAGGGACGTCAAAGGAAGCTGGTGTTCTGTCAGATTTTGCTACCTTGTCGAGATATACTACCTTGTTGCAAAATCTATGGACTGACTAACCCCGCCCCAATCCATCACCCTAACCACTTTGTGAACGGTGGGTAGCACGTCTTGATAGGTAGCAAAATCTGACAGAACACCGGTTATAAAACGAGAATCGATATGAAGCTAACACGAAACTGAGAAACTCACCCACTGGGTCCTCTTTTGATTTTAATGCGCGTCTTCCATTCATACATTTCTCCACTCTGCTAGGTATAACACTACTTTCTTTCGACGCCATCTTCGCCCACTCTATTCATGTAACCCCTCTCATATCTCTCTTACGTACCTACCTGGGAGCGCCGAAGCCCCGCCCACCCCAAAGTGAAAGGCAGTGAATGGCTCCGTTGCGGTGCGGTGGCCAATCACGACCACGAAAATCAACAAGCATCCGCCCCATTGCTATAACGCCACTGGATAAAGGAAACGTGAGCCATTAGTCAATTAACCGCTATTCCATTCAGCAGAGGATTGATGATTTTTTTTACGTTAATAAATTATTGTCTTTTTTACATATCTTTATTTCTGAGCACTTACAAACATGACAGAAAGCGGTTAAATTGTCACACATCAATAACTCATTTAGAAAAAGGCTTTATATATATAAAAAATCATTTAAGAAGCATCAAAATAATCCCAGCACAATGTCCACTCAAAAGCTTTCAACCACAATCGTCAGGAAATCATAAACATTCAAATGTTTCTCTGAGCACTTCCAGGACTTCTCCTTTATGTTGGCTTAAAAGCAAAATTTTACCCATATTCCACTATTACGAGGAAACATCAAGATTATATGTTATGTTCAGAATATTATAGCCACTGAGTGCAGGGTTGTGATATGTTTGTTGTAGGATATTGGCGACCTGAAGGGTAGTTAACATTTAAATACTGACAATTGTATGCCATGAAAACTTGAGAAATTTTGGAGTAGACAACACACACAACTGCATAAAAATGTACAAAAGTAATGGAACATTCTGGCTAAAGACCCATTAATGAAACTTGATGAGGTTGTTTTGTCAAATAGGGCCTTCTCTTTTGAAGTCCAATTTTTTTTAGTCTATTAATCTTAAATGAATCAAGCTGATTAAATAATATGCTGTCAAATGTTAAAACACTAACTGCTGGCAATGTTAAAAATCGAAAAATCGAAATGAGCCTGATATTTATCACATTTAAACTTAAACTCGGACTCTCCCCTTTCCTTCAAGGCTTCTCCAGCTGGATCTCCTCTTCCTCCATAATGTTGCAGACATCTTGGTACGGGCCCTGTGCCTGGGACCGTTCGATCTGATCATATGTGGTGCAACAGTCATCCAGATTTAGCCCCTGGTGCATGAGATAAGGAGGATGGAATTCAAGTAAACAGAAAAATCAATGAAACATAACAAACTTGTTTAATTGATTGGTCGCATAAGATAACATGTTTGTTCATGTCTTGGATCCTGCTTTCAGCAAAAGTACATGGACTAGTATTTGCCATATGCATGCCACGGCATGTGTTTGACTCAGAGAGGATGTGATTCATTTCACCTGATATATGTTTTCCTCTTCCTTCTTGGCTTTCTTTTTCTCCTGTTCACTTACTCTCTTTGACTGTGAAAGGAAAACACAAGTTGGAAAACCTGTTAAATGATGCAACTCCCAATCAAGTAAAGGCAAGAAACATTCAGAGAAACGTTTGACAAATGCAGATATAGCTCAGTGTGGTAAGAACAGTCAAAGCAGGGCTGTTTCACTGATTGCATTAATTTCTGGTGTTGACATGAGTGATAAGGCAATATTACTATTGAGAAATGCTGGAAATTAATCATAACTTTAACATCAATATTGCAGGTCAGGGGTAGCTGACAAGGCAGTGTATGTATGTTAATGCATCATTCATACTAATGTTACCCTCTGACCTTGCGGAGAAGGATGGCAGAAGGCAGCAGCACACACAGTAGCAGTAAGATTCCTTCAGCTGTCAGGATCTTGTTTTTGGTGCTTTCACTGAGGCCTGTTAACATCACGTGTTCTGGGGTTCAGAGGTGAAACAAACTAAACAACAGTTCTGTCTGTAGGTATTCACATACAAACACTAACTTGTCTTTGTAGCATGTGAGCGAGCACATTTGAAATAATCTGGAGCATCTAAAAATGAATCAGGCTAACAGATATGTTTCCTAAAGGCTTACTTGGAGTTTTATTACAAGATCAATTGTTAAGCTACTGTACTATTTCATATACAGTACAGTCTAATGCAAAATAAATAAATAAATAGACAATTGACAGTATTTTAGGTAAAGGCAATATGTTCTTGTAAACTAATACTGGTTATTTTACACATAGTTCCTAGAGAAGTTTAGTGGTTGATATACATTTACACATCAGCAATTTGCATTTAATTAGGCATTCTTAAGATGTAAAGATTGAATGAACAGCAATATGCAAGGATGCTGCCACTCACCAAGCTCTTGCTAAATTAAGGCTATATGGATTATGATGTATAAGCATTGTTTAGAGCTCACTTGACTGGCATCTCTCCATGTTAAACATACCAATTTAACACATTTCTGAGTAGTATGCACTGCAAATAATACCCCTCCCACATGCACTCACCAGAGACTTGCAGGTAGGTCCCATGTGTATAACTCCACTCGACACTGTAGTTCAGTAAACAGCGGTATAGTCCAGTGTCACTGAACTGGACTGACGTGAAGGTTAGGGTACCACAATGTATACCGTTATCTTTGGATGTTTGGTTTGCAGAAACATAGATTGAAAGATCCACAGCAAATGTAGAAAAATTACCCGTGTCATTTCGAAGTACTTTGAACCAGGTGAAATTTACTGACTTCAAATTGGGATTGAAGCAGCACTCCAGGACAGTATTTTGAGAGACACTCACATCCAAAAAGGGCTTGTCCAACTCTAAAGTCACCTCATCCTGTGCTGAACCCACTGCTGAAAAAAATGTGTCTATTATTTAATTTTAACCCAGTATTTGTCAAATCATTTCCTAACAATTGCATATAATATAGTAGTATAATTTCTATTCACAATGGGCAAATAAGGTCGTAAAAGTTGATATAAAATGAGCAATATACAAAACAATTAGGCAAAATTAACAGAGCAAAAATGCAACATGTCAGTACAGCCATCTGCTCTGACAGGAAATGTGGTTCACTGAAGCAGAACTCAGAGTTAAACGTCATAAAGCTATATTAATATAGAATAGTTATTCAGAATAAAAGCATATACTGACATTTAACCAACTAGACTAGAAATACCTAATTTCCTCCAAACCCAACACATAATGGCATTTACTGAAATATAAACACTTTCACTCAAATATGACATTTTCAGATATTTTAAGGTCTTAAAAATCATCACTCACCTGCCAAGCAGCAAAGAACAAAGATCAACGATCTCTCAATTTTCTCACACATTTTTAATCTAAGGATTAAAATTACTTAACTGAGGCAAATGTTTTACACAACAATGATCCAGCCTTCACTGTTGTAATGACATACCGGTGTCTTGTTTTTCTCAATCAGGATTTACGCTTGAACGAATTTGGAACGTCCCACATTTACATAAAAGATATATCTGCATGCATTAGAAATATAAGTGTATAAATACAGCCCCCCAAGGGATTCAGAGTACTTTGCTTTGTGTACACTTTGTATGAATAAAGCTGCCATTTTTGCCCATCAATCAACACTCAAATGTTAATGACCAACTGAAAACATGTTTTTAGAGTATAGTGCAAGAAGGGTTTTGGTCAGAGACCTGACAAAGAACCCATCAGTCAGTCTAACAGAGCTTCATAAGTCCTCTGCAGAGAGCCTGCCAGAAGAATGACATTTCAGCTGCTCTCCATCAGTCAGGCATTTGTGGTAGAGTAGAGCGAAGTGGAGTAGAGAGAAGCCACTTTGAGTAAAAGGTAGGCCAATTTCAAAACTCAAGAGCATTAGAAAAATACTCTTTTTGATGATAAAAACAATTGAACTGTTTGCCTGGTGAACACCAGGCAGTGCTTATCACCTGGCTAATACAGAAGGCTACCATCACTACAGTGAAGCCTGATGGTGGCAGCGCCATGCTATGAGACTTTCTCATTGGCAGAGACAGGGAGACTGAATTGAGGAAACAATGAATGCAGCCAAATACAGAGGTCCTTTAAGAAAACCAGCTCATACAGTGACCCGAGACTGAGGTGGCGGTTCACCTTTCAGCACAACAGTGACCTGACACATACAGCCAAGACAAGGATGGTGTGGAGGACAAGTCTCTGACTGTCCTTGAGTGGCCCAGCCTTAAACCCCACAGAACATCACTGGAGAGACCTGATGATGGCAGTTCACAAACACTTCCCATTCAACTTGACGGAGCTTAAGAGCATCTGCCAAGAAGACTGGGATAGACTGCCCGAGGTGGGCAAACTTGTAGAAGCTCCTTGCAAAGGGGTTTCTACAATCTACTAAATTTCAGTTTTTAATTGTTAATACATTTGCAAACATTTCTAAAAATGTTTTTTTTACTTTATCATTATGGGTTACTGGGTGTGGGTTGCTAAGCAAAAATGGCAACATTAATCAAATAAAATTAAATCTACATGAAATATGCAAAAAGTGAAGGGGTTTGAATACTTTCTGAAGTACCTTTTTTTTTTATATACGTTGTATATTTGAAAGGGATATACAGATACAGGATAAGGTTCAAATATATCAACACAAGGAGTCTAGTACAATTAATGTCTAAACACAGCATTCATACACTATGTACCATATTAATCCACATCCAGAAATCCTTGCACCCCAAAGAATAAGTCTGTAATTATTATAAAATTATAACTGACTCATAACTATATAAAATGACCAAGCTGGTATTTTTTACCCAATTTATTAAAAAAAAATTTAAGAATTAAAAAACAGAACGTACCACAAATTTCCTTAAGTATAAATCATTAAAGAGCGTCTTACACAATAAAACAAAAGTCCAAATACACAGTATAGTTCTTGCATATTCATTGTTTATAGACAGACAAGATGACAGTGTTTTCTTCTATACAGAGCACTGGTTGGCAGAGTTGGTAAAGGGCTAAAATCCTATTATTATAATATAAATGGACACAAACAGTTTGGTGTAGGCCAAGTTAAAACTCTTAACATCCCTTGATGCCCATGAGTCATTTGGTCATCATCTCTCACTGTCTGAAGTTCTCCATGCAAGAGTGTCCATCAGAACACCAGTGATTGTGTTTGTAGACTTAACAGCCCTTTATGAAGCAACAAACTCAATCATCAGAACAAGGCATCACTCTATAAATATATTTTCTATCCGGCTAGCTATCTGTATATAGAATACATGAGGAAGAGCATCTGGAGGAGAGAGAGAGAGCAAGGAGCGGCTGTAATAGTCTTTTTGCCAGTGAAATATGAAGGCATCACTGTATGCTGGTGTTAACTGGTTCGAACCTACTGACACCGGCAGTTTAACAGTTAAAAATCCGTGGTTGAGATAATCTCTACAATGCATGTATTCCACTGGTAGGCTGACTAGCCACAGCTCAGTGTGGGTTTACATTTTTAGTCACACTTTAAAAAAACATATGTCATGGTTACAAAGTTTGCATAATTGTTAATATAATTAATTGTTAAATTTGCTCATGCATAGACAAGATACAGACGAGTCCTGTCTCTCTCGCTGCTAACAAAAACTGTGACAAAATCCTCCCCGACCCATTTAAGTAAATGAAATACACATCATCATATGGTAAAACTGTGCAGCAGGAAAAGGTGAGCATGCTATCACAAGAGGTGAGCGTGTTATCATGAGGTGTATGCAGCTAATAAGCTTATTGAAAACAAAGGGAGCTAATTTATACTTTCTCTCCACTTCTCCTTCAAAATAACATTTATGTACAGTTTCTCAGAGGAATGGTAGAAACGTTCACACAAACGCATATTTTAGCAACTTGTGACAGTCAAGTGACTGATAGCACTGTCATTTGCATAATTTGATACAGAAGTGAAGGGCATACATATTGTGGCAACAACAATGAGAATGCATATCAGGAAGTGATCATGATTACAGTACTGTGAGAGTGGCACTGGGTAATGATTGCAGTTCTCCCCCCTTCAGATTGTCACCAATTCCTTTGTACCATCACTGACTGGCTTGTTGCTTTGTACTTGTTCAGTCTCGCCCCCAAAACCAGGTCACAACAGTACAGCTTGTTTTTACTTTGCTGACCCAGAAAGACCCTGAGGACTCATTAAAGTCAATGAAGTGTTTACAAGAAATGGCAGATTTATAGATTGTGCTTGGTCACAAGGCTAGAGCTTCATTCTTCATCTATATATTTACATTAGCTGGAGAACTGAAAATGTGGTACTTTATTGACAACCAGTGCCTTGTTCATCTGTGCTTCTGAAACCCTTTAAGTTGCCTTTACTTTTGCTGTGCTGGTGTGCCATCAGCATTAAGTGATGTGCTAATATACAGATGAAATGCCAAAAAGAAAACCAGAGCTTATGTGAGGATGCAACAGTACTTTGTCGTCTTTGGTCCTGTGTGCATGGCCACAGTTGTGCCACTACTCATATCACACCATTATAATTACAGTCAACTGCTGAATAAAATAGAAAGACACAGCACAATTTTGGTACAAATACTGCTGCCAGGGAAGAATAGACCTTTTTAAAAACTAGCAACATGTGAATCTAACGGCACATAATACAATTCATAACCTCCTCTGAAGTCTGTGTTTTGGATCAGGAGCTGTGGACTCCCTTAGGGAAGATGATGCTACAGAAGTTAGCTTGGCAGTGAACAACACTGCTACAGCACTAGGCCCTCAGTGTTTGTAGATGTGTGTGTACATACATTTTTCTTCTGTACAGTGAGCACAAATCCTAATGTCATGGTTTATACACATCTTCTCATGACCATCTGGTTCAAACTGGCTTCAAATAAACCAAAGCAACAGCCTCTAAAACTCACTCCCCATCTCTGCATCTGCTCTCTTTACTCTCTGCCTTTATCTCTGTTACACATCCATGAATTGCCTTCTTGTTTTGTCTTTTCACTGACACCCTGCTCTTATCTTTCTCAGCCCAATGCTGTAACAGTTTCCCCTGTGTGAGGCGACTCACTGACCTAACAGGACTTCGAGGAATAAATAAAAGCGGTAGATACAAAGAAGTCTCCATTATTAACATCATGATTACCTATAGCGCCATGATATATAACTGTTTCCATGTGACGTAATAACAGTAAGAACCCCCAAATACACACATTTTTAATTAAAAAATTTGTAACACACATACACACCCATTCTTGCATGCATCTTTTCAGGTCCAGCAGTTCAAAAACTGACAGTACTGAGTAACTACTGAGAGTAACCTTAATAAATTTTGCAAAAACAGTGGGCTCAACTGATTCTGATAAGAAAAAAAAAGTGCATCTCTGTGGAACTTTGGCATAGACTACAAATAACACTATATATCAGCAGTAGTATTTCAAAACATCTTCAAATGCTACATTGGCACCTTAAGGGTTCCACCTGGTTTAGATAATTTGACAGGCAAATATAGGGTTTCTCCATTACTGTACATCTGCTATTGGCAATAATCAGAAGTTATTTCCTAGTGTGCATGTCTCTGGTGTGCATATGTGTGTTACAGCAGAATGCAATCTCTACAGTTTGTTAGGCAGCATCTCTCTAACAGCAAAATAGTGCTTCTTTTTTGGCACCACTCCGCAAATATAACCTCCCACTCAAAAGTAGGGTCTTGCTTTTTTTTTTTTGTTTTTTTTTTCCTGTGTATACCTTATTATCAAGCATGCACACAAACAGACACACATACACATGCACACACCTCCCATGTTCCATCACTGAACTATTGCCCTGCGCAGAAATCCCTCCCTCTCCTCTGTCAGGCAGAAAACTTCCTGCCTGGCTGCAAAAAGCTGTGACATAAACAAATAAAGCAGCAATGGTCCAGGCTTGACTTATGCAGATTTAGGAATTTTCAGGGAAGCCTCTGAAAGTCTCTCTTGCACTCCAACCCAGCAGAGGTTAAAATCTAAAAGAAGAAATGAGAAGAAAAGATTAATTATTAATATAGAAAGGTAATGATATTGGTGATGTCACAGCCATCATTTCATCACTTTCACAGTTACTTGCTAAAATCTCTCAAAGAGGCATCATTCTTTAGTTAAAAAATGGAAATGAGACTAGAAATGAGCTGTTGAAAATTTACTCATCTAGGTGACATGTATTTGTTTTCATGTGCGCAGAGAAATTAAGCTTTACCAGCATCAGAATGTGATTTTCATCCCTTCTTGCTTTGAGCTTCATGTCTCAGGTTATATACACAAGCTACATGATCTTATTTATGTTAGGTTCTTTGGACCATACAGAGAACTCATAGCTTACAACTCAGAGCTTTAAAAAGGTCTGCTAAACTCCTGAGCATGGTTTTAGGTAAAAAAAGAAATTATGCAAATCATTAATTATAGAAGATATTACTTAAAAAGTAACTATAGGTCAACTAAACCTGATGTTAAGAAGGTTTACTGAATTTTTACTTTTGAGTTTGAACATGTTTATCTGTTTATTTCACCCTCTATTGTTGAATATTTAATTTTATTGCATTTTCTGTACTTTTTGTGATCTAGTTTTATTAACTTATGCTACAGTGTTGAATTGTTTTATCTTGATTTTCCCATGTAAAGCATACTGCATGTGGTTTGGATAGTTTTTTATGAATAAGGTAACAATCATTTATTTTATTATTGAAAGCCTAATAACCATGATGTTTTAATTCAAAAAATTGGTACAAGAAATACCAATCACATTTTACGCTGAAAAGCACTGTGTGCTCCCCCCCCCCAACCCCCCTGAACCTAAACCTTTTGATGATGAATGCTGATACTTAAATACATCACACTACAGCTTTTCAGTAGTGAAAACGTTGTCTCACCTGGTGACCAGCAGGTGGCGTGATGGTGTCTCACTGGAAATGACCCCCCTGCAGTGAGAACTCAGATAGGGCCTCCTGCAGCCTGTGGTGCTCCTCTTCTACAGTCTGCAACACACAAAATCAATATCACCTTAGGAACTGCAGTCACACACACGCGCACAGTTCAACCTCCTCCTTTTAACATCCCCTCTTTGTCTCCCTTGTTGCTTCTCTGACACATCTCATTGCGAAGCTCTGGACATGATTGCCATTTTCAAAGAGATGTCCAATTTCACGAGGCAATTTTCAGCCAAGCAATAACAGCAGTGGTTAAATGGTTTTCTATTCTCTAGTTTCTCTTTTGTGCCATTTTGGTCCGATTTGTCCCAAGTACACCATGGCTCACTCCTTACTTAAGTTATCCTCAGTGAAATCCTTGACACCCTACTCTGCGTCTCTTTCCAGGCAGCTTCTGTCTTTTGTTGTGTCTTTCATCTTTATCTGCCGCTGTCATAGAATCTCCTCACAGTTTTCCTCTATATTCTCATCCATCTCTCTCACCTGTAATCTCTTTACTTGTTCCTCCAGAAAATTGATCCTCCTGCACACTTCCTCCATCCTCTCCTGGGACAACACCAGGGGCGCACTGATGCTCCTGTCCTCCTCTCCTTTCATCGCTGCGCAATCCGTTTCACACGTGTTATTGTTCTCCTGGTCCTCTCCTCTGGCCGTGGTGCTGCTTTCTTCTGTGAATGGAAAGACTTGATTTAAATGTGTGAGGATTCAGTTTAAGCTGCAGTCAGACCAGTACTCAGTGATATTTAACATGAGCAGTATTTTGGACTGTACAGCTTCCTAGTTAAAATAAATCTCCTAATATCTGTTTTATTTCAGTTTGTAATGGTGTGATAAAAAAAAGCACACAGTACACAATGAGCTTTTCATTCATGAAGCATCAGAACACATGTAAGAACAATCAACAATATTAGAACTTATCAAGGTCACGAAGCTGCACAGCCCAGAGTTCTACCAAAGTTAAACATGACCCTTAAAGACAATATTTAGTTTTCTTGTCAAGAGTTTGATGACAAGATTGATGCCATGCTCATGCTTGTGTTCTATGTATATATAAAGCTACCACCACTAGATGCTTAAGTTAGCATAAATGCTGGAAACAGGGGAAGCAACTAGCCTAGCTCAGTCTAAAGGTTAACAAGTAATTGCTTGCATGTTTACATATATATACAAAAAAGTGTGAAAACAACATGTTATGGATAATAACCCTATTTCTTAGCTGTGAGCAATTCCTGGCAAACCAGTGGTGACAACTCCAGCAAATTACTGTTCATGGCAAAGAACTAGTCTGGCAATTATAACAGCAAGTAAAACCTTTTTCAACTTCCTTTTTGTACAAAAACCCATATGAGATATTACAGAGCCAGGCAAGCTGTTCCCCCCCGGCTCACACCGTTTATGCTAAGTCTAGCATCATATTAGCGCTCAGACATGAGAATGCTATCAGTTGCCTTTAAAACCACAAAAGCCTACCTGTTGAGTGAAAGCTCTGATCCATTTCTTGCATGGACCTTTCTGTTCGCTCTTCTCCGTTTTCTTCATCGGGCTGTGAGTCTTCTGACAGACTGATGCTACCCACCAGCAGCCTTTTCAGTGATGCGACTAAGACGAGACAGATTCAGTGCTTTCATTAGAAATAAGAGTCACGCTACAGTGAAAGAATGGAAAGACAAGGCAGACAGTTATAAACAATCATCTAGAGAACAAGGAAGACCCTCATTCACCTTCATCCAAAGCACTGCTGGCCACCTTCACCTGATCGTTGTTGGAGTGGCCTATCACATCAAAGCCTTTTTCTGACAGGAAATCAATCAGCCTGTGCCTGGGGTCTGAAGACTTGTCATCCATCAAGCTGTCCTTATCTCGATCTACACACGCACACACACACACACACACACACACACACACACACACACACACACACAACTTAACTTGAGCTTTCAGAAATGTGCTGCAAAATAAAAACGTGTACTATATATTAAGTGTTCAGCTGATAAAGTGCTGTGTTCTCACCACTGCTGCTTTTCAAACCTCCATTCTCAGTCGGGCTCAAAGGGGCATTCAGCCTGACGAAGAGAAAATGACAAAAGAAATGAGATATTCTGAGATGAGTGAACTTTGTCAGGCGGTGAATATATCTTGCTCTCTTGACAGATGAGTGAACACACACACACATACACAGACACGTACGTGGAGGGACTGAAGGGAGGTACTCCCCCTCCAGGAGGCAGCTGCAGCTTCATGGGTGCTCCGCTCTTCTTCAGATCATCCACTGCTAACTTTATGACATCAGTCCAGCTAAAACACACATACAAACAGAATCACAGCTCATCATGTGGTTTACCTTCTGAAACAAATTGGTCTGTCTGTTCCTGTTTGACACTCACATTTTCCTCTCTCCAACAGACTGAGCCACCAGTTCGTAGATCTGAGCACCACTGTCCCAAGTAAATATCACATAGAAGGCCTTTCGATCTGGCAGAACAGGAAAGGAACAACATGTTGAAGGCTGAGTGATACTGATTTCACAATCACCAAAACAGTGACCTGTGGTGATTTTACTGTTGTGTGCGGCTAACCTGTGGCCACCTCACGAAGAAAGACTGAGTCCAGCTTGATGATGGGGCTCAGCATCTGCTTGCCCTCCTGCACAGCGATGTTACTCTTGCTCTGGCATTTGAGGACCATCTTGTCATCCTGCCTCTGTAGAAGCACCAGTAGTTCCCCAAGTAACACACACTGCACCTCTGAGAAACACGGGGAAGGAGTGGGACAAAGGAGAGAGACAGAGAGCAGAGGACAGGGAGGAAAAGAGGGACAGAGAGTGAGACAGAGTGGTTCTCTTTTCTCAGTTCCTCACTATTCTAATTTTTTATGGTTGCGGCTTCACTATTGTGTATTGTTTAAGAGTTTTATATTTATTAATTAATGTATTTATTACCAACTTCACACTGGTGTTGTCACAATACTGGAACTTCTAACGTCAACGCAATACCTTGACTGGTCAGCATGGGCCAAAGCTCGGCCACCCTGTGCCTGCTTGCACCATGTGCCTACAGTTGATCATTCACCGGTAGACAGGTCTGTTTACACTGCAGCGTCACTTGCTGTATGTTAAATGTAAAGTCTGTTTCTGCTGTTGACCGCTGCATCTGATGTTCAATATGTATCAACAAAAAAACTAAACAACAAAAACTACACTTTCCACAACACTACCTCATAGTTTATAAAACTTTTTTTCTATGTTTCGTTTTGCAACAACAGTGTTTTTAATTTCTTCTCCTATCTGTCGTATATGTACAGTATCTGTTGATCGGAATCTAGAACTGGTACATATATTTGCCCTTAGGAAGAATAATAAAGTTGTACTGCGTTGAACTGAACTGAGATAAATATAAAAAAAAGGAAGTTAATGGGCCAGTGAGGTCTCACAAAGGCACCTGCACTCCAGCTGGGCATTCCTTTATAGAAAACCTTAATTTGCACACTTGAAAAAGGGAAATGAAATTGCTTGATAACAATGTTTGCCTTTGTAAGCAAATACAATACAATATGATACGACCGGCCCAATAGATTGTTCTAAAAATGTTGTGCAAAAAACCCCTTTGTCCTTGTATTTACCAATAGCTTTCTCTTTGGTAACTCTCCAGGTCAGGGGACCTTCATAAAGCATCTTCTTCTGAGTCAGGTCAATGTTCTAGAAAAGACAAAGGGCAAACACTGAGAAAAAGGTATTATGGATTTTCAAACAGCTATTAAAATCTGTAAGGTGAAACAGAATGTGCAGAAAAACCTAGGTGAAAGAACCTCACCCTATATTCAGTATAAAGCTCGTTACTTGGTTTGAGCCCTGATGTGTCCAGTTTACGCTGGTACTCCCTCAAAGTCTGGGAACAGAGACAGATTAGGGGGTCAGAGAAAGGACACATAGCACAGCTCTGAAGTAGAAGTAGTCTAACAAGCAGAGACCTTCAGAGGTTCTCAAATTAATTTACTAGACTCCAACTGGTGATCAATCACTACATAACAGTGTGAGGACTGATGGATTGTGTGTTTCTCACCAATAGGTTCTCCATCACTTTGACCGCCTCATTGACATGGTTGAGGATCTTTCTGCAGCACTCTGCGCTCTGCTGGATCCTCTCCTTCTCTGTTAGGTCCTCTGTGGAGAGAAAGAAAACCCAAATTTGAGGAAAATGCAGCTTTCACAACAGAGCCTGAACAAAAGCAAAACATCAAGTTTACATAAGAACCTGGGAGTGACAAAAATTTAAAGTTCTGTGTTGTGCTTAAATCATAGTACTTGTGTAAATACTGTCCACATTTTCCCCATGTTCTGATATAGACCGTCACATATGGTTAAAAACATTAGCATAATATTCTGCATCATTTACTCTTAAGATGAAACATAGATGCATACTGCATCTCATCCGATGCTTGTCATAAAAAGGTACAATCTCATGTATCAGAATGTAACATTGACAAACACCAGACACACTTGTAAGTGGAATATCCTTTGTCACTTGTTTCACTCATTTCATTACTTTAACAATTTTCATCCCACCTTTTCAATGCTTAATAAACCCAGATATATATAAAATATACACCGATAAGTACCTATCAGCAGTGTCTAAGGAAGGACAGACAGTGAACCAGAAACAGGGTCATGGACACCCAAGGCTCACTGATGATGAGTTTGACCTACTGTAGATTAAACTTTTAAATTTCATTCATCCTTTTCAGAAGAATCCATTTTGTTTGAATGTTTGTTAAAATAGTTGAAAATGAGAAATACTCTACACTGGTCTCTATGAAGAGAAACATTCAGCAGCTATAGTGGTGATATCACATCTAAGGTGGGGAGGCTGTTGAATTGGTCTAAAATTCTCTACAACTTGTCCTCACAACCATAGTTTTCATTTATTTCATGAAAGTTTTTTAATCAATTGTAGACACATCTGTGCTCTTCCTGACAGTAGAACTATGGAAGTAAATGAATTCACACAAGGTGCACAGTGACCTGCAGAGAGACACGAGTGCCAACCAGCATGCAACACTAATAGATAATATATTTACTAATGATATTGATAGCAAAATGTCTAGTGGATTACTTATAAATGATATCAGTGATCATTTACCAGTATTTTTGGTTTATGACTGCCATGTTAGAAATGAAAGGCCAAAAACAAATCTTTTTTATAGGAAGGTGATGAACGAATATGCTGTAAGGAGGCTAAAAGAGGACTTTTTGGGGCAAGACTGGGAAGCAGTTTACAATGAGGAAGACTTAGATAAAGCATATGAGCAATTTTTAAATATATTCATGGAAGTATATGACAGGAACTGTCCTCGTAAGCAGTATAAAAACAAGAGGAATTACAGTGGGAAACCGTGGATGAGTAAGGGATTACAGAATGCATGTAAAAAGAAGAATGTGTTATATAAGGAATTCATAAAGGACAGATCAAAGAAGGCGGAAGAAAAATATAAGTCATATAAGAACAAATTAATTGAGATTTTGAGGAGATGTAAGAAACTATATTACTCTAAAGTATTAGAGGATAATAAAAATAACATGAGAGGTACTTGGAATATATTAAATAAACTGATTAGAAACAGTACCAGCATGAGTAACTACCCTTAATATTTTATGGATAATGACACACCGGTCAATAGATTTGAGGATGTAGTTGATAAGTTTAATAGGTTCTTTGTGAATGTTGGTCCTGGTTTAGCAAGAAGCATTTGTACAGATGATACATCCATCACTATAAATAATAATACAAT